GGTCTGAAAATATTAAATGGAAAATTCCAGAAATAAATAATTCATAAATTTTAAATTGCACGCCGTTCTGAGTAGCATGATGAAATCTTTAGCCGTCCAGCCCTGTCCCAGCCAGGACATGAATCACCCCTTTGTCCAGCATTATCTGCATTGTCTACACTACCCTCCTATTAGCACTTAGACTCCTCTGTTATCAGATCCCTGGTCAAGGTATCTCAGTGAGGAACCCTTATTTTACGTAATAATGGCCCCGAAGGCAAGAGCATTTGGATATGTCAAAGAGAAGCTATAAAGTACTTCCTTTAAGTGAAAAGGCGAAGGTTCTCCACTTTTTCTTTGCCACAGCAATTGTGGCAAACTTACTTTGGAACTGATTATAGAAGACTTTACTTATTCTTGCGTTGTGATCAGTATTAGGCCCCAACTTTGTAGACTGACCAGTTTGGAATGACATGAAATGACTAAATTTCTATATTCTGCTTGAAAAACATAATTCAAATGTAGGCATGAGACTCTGCAGTGAATCCCCACAGTAAGGAAAATGGGCAGCTTATTTCCACACGGAAATCCCCAACTGCCACACCACGTCCATCATCTGACATAGAATCTCACTTCCATTGGAATGTACTTAAAGGTCAAGTCTCTGGATGAATTTTAGTTTAGTGGGTTCTGCAGCAGAAACGCCTAAATCAGGAGCACCGTTTTAGCGTTGGCAGAAACACCTTCTCTTCAAACAGCAGAGGAGAAGAAAGAATGAAAGATTTTAAGCTCCAAGCCTTTTAGCTAAGCACATTTTCTAACGTTTCTGCTTGTATCTCATGCAAAAGGATAAACGGGTGGGGATAGAACCACAGTCATCTACTTTCGCAGATGCACACTGGAGTCCTGCAGACACAGTTTTTTTGGCCTATATTTTAAAAATCTGGGAAATGCTGCATTTTAAAAAAAATTTTGCTTAAGAAACTGGAACCGCTGGGCACGGTGGGCCTGTCTTCCTGTGTGGGGAAGGAGGCAGAAGCTGAGAACCGGCTGCTCTCTGCACACGTGCTGTGCAGCCTGCCGTTTTCCACCACTCCGGGTCTCCTGCGGTTTATGCAACTGATGCAACGTTTTTACCAAGTGGGCATTTCTCTTTGTTAAAGGGGAGACCCCATGGCTGCTTCCCTGCCAAGCAGTCCTAAATCTGCGCGTTTTTTAACGATCTGACCCGCACCTACTTCTCCAGAACGGTCAAAAGCACGGAAGTAAGAATGAAAGGATGGTCCCAGCCACGAAAAACCAGCTGTGTGACCTTGGGCGACTCTGTGAAGCCCTAAAAGCCGAAGGGGACGAATGGTCTGTGAAACCTGCCCCCGAACGCCCCGGTCGGCGAGTACGGCACACACGAGATTTCCAAAGTGCTCCAGTTCACAAACTGCAAAGCGCTTCCCGTCCGCGACGGCGCAGCGACGCCTAGTCTTCCAAGTCGGGTCACCGGCGCCCCCTCCACCCCGCACCGCCCCACCGCCCGCTCGGGGAGGCGGTCGGGACCGGCCACCAACGAAGCGAGAAGTTCCTCAGCGGGGCGAAGCTGTCGGCGGCATTTTTAAGCTCCCTCAGGGACACAGCGACTCCCGCCGAGCTGACGGACCCGGCCGCGTGGCCAGCGCGGGAACCGGTCCCCGGGCCGCCACCCTGCGCGCAGCCGGGTCCCACACGCCGGGCTAAAGCCCTCCCGGCGCGACCCCGGACGCGGGACCCCGGCCTTCGCCCTCGTCCCCAGCCCCCGCGTCCCTCCCCCGCTCTCCCTCCACGTGACAAGCGCCGGAACCGTCACTTCCGGCGGCGCGGGCAGCGCGCCTGCGCGAGGCGCCCGGCCTCGGCGAGCGGTCGGCAGCGGCGCCGCGCCGCCAACGGCCGCGAGTGTCGGGCGGCGGTCCCGAGGGGCTGCGGCCCGGGAGGTCCTGCCCACGCCCGGAGCGGCGGCCGCCCCGCCTCCTGCGCGTCTCCCTCCCTCCGTCCCTCCCGCGCCCCTGCTCGCGCGCGCGGCCCCCTCAGGCGGCGGGGGCGCTCGGGAGGCTGCGTCGTGCGCGCACGCGGCCCCGCCCCCTGGAGCCCCGCCCCGTCCCCGCCCTCCCCGCCGCGCTCTGCGGGAGCCGGGCAGCTGCAGCGGAGCCGCGGAGCGGGCGGCGGGGCCGGGCTGTGCGCTCGGGCGCGGGATGTGAGGCTCGGCGGGCCGCGGCGCGCACGACGCTCGGACGGGCGAGGGGCGGCGACCCCTGCCGACGCCTGGCCGCGGCTCCCCTCTCGCTCGCCCTCGCGCGTCCCCGGCGCCGGCGGGACCATGAAGAAGTTCTCTCGGATGCCCAAGTCGGAGGGCGGCAGCGGCGGCGGGGCGGCGGGCGGCGCGGCCGGCGGGGCCGGCGCCGGCTCGGGCGGCTCGTCCGTGGGGGTCCGGGTGTTCGCGGTCGGCCGCTACCAGGTCACCCTGGAGGAGTCGCTGGCCGAAGGTACGGGCGCCGGCGAGGCGCGGGCGGTCAGGTGAGGGAGGCTGGGGTGTGGCGGCGGCGGCGACTCCCCCCCCCCCCGCCCCGCGGGCCGCCCGGCGGCGGCGGGGCTTTCGCTCCGGAGCCGGCTTTTCCTGCCGCCGGCGGCTCTGAGCGGCGCACGGTTCTCTCCTGGCGAGTTCCGGGCATCTTCTGCCCTTCTTGGCGCAAGGGGGCAAACAGGAGACGGGCCAGCAAGTGGCGGGGTGTCGCGATGGGGCCGAGCCGCGGCGGAGGGTCGGGGCGGGCCGGCCTGGGCTCGGGCGGGGTCACGGTCGGCCGCTGCGCCTCCGCCGCGGTGCACGGGACCCGCGGCCCCTGGCGTCGAGTCCGGGTTTGCTCCTGCTGGGTCACCGCTCGGAAACAATGTGTCTGTGTGTGTCGGAGACGACATGTGCCCCAGTTCAGCTGGCGGGTTGCTCTGGTCAACTTGCAGCCCGGTCATCTGCGCTGTTCGGAAGCTTCTGTATTGCACGAGGTGCTACTTACTCGTGCCCTTCCGGGATGCCCCTTCGGCGGTGCTTTTTTTACCAGGTGGTATGAAAGCGGGGTAATTTTCTCTTGCAAGTTTTGTGGTTGATCCTTCGTTCTCTTTAACAGGTCGTGACAGCAGGCAGAAAGAAGTCTACTTGCAAAAAAGTTTACTCCATTTAAAAAAAAAAGAAAGCTTAAACTTTAGTTTTTGTATTTCTGGCATAATTGGTTTGTCAGAAATACTTTATCTTGTTTATTGCATGCTTCATCGACCTTTGAGTTTTTAGTTGCAAAATGATGTTACAAAATAAATACTTTAAAAATTAATAAGAAAAATCTGTTGATAAAGGAACGGCTCTTTTAAGTTCTGTGGTTAAGAGAAAAGAAATCGAAGACAGTAGTGTTGGTTCTGTGAGCGATAGTGGCGTGGTTTGAAACCAGTAGGCTGAGATTCCACTTGCATTTTTTAAAATGCTATAAACATTGGTGAATTAGTGCAGAAGAGAACCTGGAGATTTGTGTATGAAGTATTCTGAAGAGAAAGAAATCTTGAATTAGTCAGGGTGGATGTCATCGTTGGGTAAACCGTCGCCCGGTATAATGACCCTAGCCAGACCTCGCAGAGCGGGGAGGAGGATCCTTAGCTTCCCAAAATGTGGTGAATGGTCTTAAGGAGAGATTTGCTATGCTGTGAAACTTTCTAGCTCTTTTTTGCGCCTGAATTTCAAGTGTTGGTTTAGATTGGGTTGTAGGTTTTCAGAAGACATGGCTCACTCACATGCCATACTTCTGTCTTCGAATTGGACTAGTAGCTGATTGAAGTGTAGCTTGAGTAATGTTACACTCACTTCATTCCACTGAATCCCAGATGGGTCTTTTATTTAATAGAAAAATATTAACATAAACTACACTTCGAATTTCCAACTGGTATCACTACCCTAAGCGTATCCTTTCACTATCCCCAAGCAAGCCATTTTCAATAAAAAATAAGTAATTTTGGAAAATGAAAATAAAAATGAATTTCAGAGGAAGAGTCCTCATTCAACCATAGAAGCAAAGAACAAAAAATTTTTGCAAGCACGAATGTCCGCTGACTTTTGACATAAGTTTGTCGTTTCTCTTGAAAAATCAGTAATCAAGCGATAGCAGGAGGAAGCAAGGGTTGAAGAAACCCTTTTGGAAGATGGAATTCATCCTATACTCCAGCTTTAAGTCTTCTCTGGAGGAGAGGCCAAGGCCTCAGCTTGCTTCCCTGTGTGTTTCTTCTCTCATCAGCGCACACACAGATGCAGTTGTCAATACTCAGTTTGCTTTTTGATCCCAGCTGTTTATTCTTGTTTCAGGTGTTTGATATCCCCTCTCCTTTTCAATCAAGTGATGCCGCAATTAAGACAATATGTCTAAGCACAAGTGTAGTTCACATTTAAGCGTGATTAATCAATAATCGGCAGGTTTGCCTAATCATAAGATTGGGGCAAGTGCTTGTGAAAAGGCATTAGACTTTAGAATACCCAAATTGGGGAGAGGTATGCGACTCAATAGGAAAAGTGATAGATGCTAGGACAGACCAAAATGCAAACTTTGTGGACTCTACATTTTTTGCTTTGGCTCAGTATAGTTTAAACAGGGCCAGGACCCAGTAGACTCTGGGCCCTGAGATATTTTTGCCTTGCTATTGCAAACACGGGCAGCTTACTGAGTGACCTGTGCAGTGTCTTTTTAATA